GGTTACAGAAAGCAAAGAAGGACACACCATAAGAAGCTTATCTTGTTACTAACAAAAAAGAGGGAAAGGACCAACTCACAGCTCCAAGTCATGACACCTGTGAGATATTGTCAAATGAACAACTTATAGGAGACTCAGCGTCCTAGTTCTTAGGGAGACTGGTCAAAGGCCACTTCTGCAGGTATCAACCAGGCTCCCAGAGGGAAAGCAGGTACTCAATATGAACCCTGTCTGAACAGGTCACCTGATGGTGAGAGTCATTCCCCAGTGCTGCAGGAGCACTTCTCCATATAAAACCAACACAGGCAGCCCCTCGTCAAATACAAAACAAACAAAACAAAAAACCCACAAGACAGTGCCCAGGCACATAGCCATACTCTGCATACTCTGTCATACAGGGTAAAGCAGATAGGTTGTGGTGCTACTGAACTCTAGAAGGCTGCATATAAGCCTCACCCAAACTCTGACAACAGGCAGCAGGAGCAGCTTTAAGAAGTTGGTCTTACCTTCTACATTGTTGTAGAAATGACAGGAGCGACTTGCTACCTTCTTGCGGCATAAGTGGATCTATAAGAGGAAAGAAGAGTGCTCACCTGGAATGGCTAAGAAATGGTCCACCCCTGGCCCTCAGCCCTCACCAGCAACTTCCCTATGTCTATCTTCCCTGTGTTCTCTAAGGCCTGACCCAGCCCAGCAGGGAGCACAGTGGACAGGATTAGCAGTCTGGTAGAGCACAATTCTGGATTTTAAGATCCAAGCACCACCCAATCAGTAAAATCGTGGAGACTGAGTGCTCCAAAGCCTACCTGCATGTGGTTACTCTCCTGCTTCTTCACTTCAGGGTGAATACACAGCTGTTCCCGGGATCCCAGCACACATACCTTGGGCCTGACAAAAGAAAGAACGGAAGAGTCAAGAAGGAGCTGCCTCAGAACATGAGGATTACAATGTGGCCCAGCAGCATGAGCTGTATGGAGACAAATGGGAGCCCACAGAAAACTTAGGAAACAAAGGAAACAGAAAGACTAGAATGTGGTAGGTGAGGCAAGAAACACTGGACAGAGCAACCTATCGTACAAGTTCTTCCACATGGGAGCCTGCCTAGCAAGATATCAAGATTCTGTTGGATTATGGCAAAAGGCAGATTCTTCTTCCATCATGAGCAAAGCTGCCTTAAGGAGCCAGAGCTGACCGTAACCACAGGAAACATGACAGTACTGCAAGAAGCCCAGAGTTCAAGAACAAGGACAGCCATAAGTTCATAGTTCAAAGCTGCTTTCTCACAAGTAATGCATGTCAAAACCTAGCCAGTCTTCATCTCTGATGTACTACACACACACACACACTCAGCTGGCTGTGGATACAGCTCCAAACCAAAATCATTATCCAGATAATCTCCGGAGGTGTGAATATGGTGACATACCGGTAGGAAGTATTGCGGAGCTCACTGATGACCTGAGTTAGCTGTGAGTGAGTTCTAGAAGCATAGATGATCTTTGGGATGTCCGTGTAGCAAGCTGCATAAGCATAAAGAAATAGCTGTGAGGCAATATCTTCACATGTTTATACATGCAGCACTGAGCTAACTTAGCCCTGCAGACATCCACAAACCTGACACTAGACATTGTGGGTTGCTGTGGTATCCAAATTCCAGGAAAAAAGCTCTGACCCCAGGTGTATACCCAGAATGGTGAGAAATGTGAACCATACAAAATTCTCCTTTCTTAAATTCTGCTCCAGAGACAGTGGAAGCCTAGGTGAATTGGCCTGGTCCCAGGCTCTATCCCCCTTCCCTATCAACTGCATAGGCCAGGAGAGATGGGGGTGAGAATGAGGAGATAAGGCTCACCTATGGAGTCTCCATCAGCAGCATTCCAAGATGACAAAGACCGACTGGCAAAGAGTTCACCTTGAACTCTCTCAGCAATCTTTAGGGAAGAAACAGCATCACGAAGATGTTCCCGCCATGCCAATGTAGTGCAGAGGAGGCAGAGTGTCTTCCCAGTGCCTGTAGGGCTCTCTAGGATGCCATTCACTTTCTAAGTGGAGTCAGGAACAAGGAGGAGGAAAAGCAGGGAGTGTGGAGAAATGGGGGAAAGTGAGATGGCTCTTAGATGCCCAGCCCACACCCAGAGGACATAAATTAGTTCATGACATTTTCCACTTTTGCCCTAAAAGCCATAGATTAAGCCTGCCCTCTTTAGCCAGGTATGGTGGTACACACCTTTAGTTCCTTGCCTCTGTCTCCCAGGCAGAGGAGAGGCAGAAGCAAGTGGATCTCTGTGAGTTTGAGGCCAGGCTGGTCTACCTAGTAAGCTCCAGCATAGCCAGGGCTATGTAATGAAACCCTATCTCAGAAAACAAACAAACATACAAAAAAAAAAAAAAAAAAAAAAAAAAAAAAAAAAAAAGAATGCCCTAATTAGCAAAGTATTTTCAGAGTATTACCCAAAATTTGACAGTATATTTCAGCCTAATATAAATAGTTAGATGACTAATTAGGTGTCAAGTCTCAAAATAGGAAACTGTTCTGCAATTCTGGGTCCAGGCATTCACTCCACCTAAACAGAATTTGATGCCCTATATTCCAGATATCAGATGGGAGCCTGAGCAAGACATCTGAGGAAAAGGTGATTAGAATAGCAAAGGACGCCTCAAGAAACTCAGTGAAAGTTATTTGCCTTACATGCTCCTAAATTTAAAGATTTTTCATGTCTCAAAAAAGTCAACCATAGCCGGGTGTTGGTGGCGCACGACTTTAATCCCAGCACTCGGGAGGCAGAGACAGGTGGATCTCTGAGTTCAAGACCGGCCTGGTCTACAAGAGCTAGTTCCAGGACAGCCTTCAAAGCCACAGAGAAACCCTGCCTCAAAAAAAAAAAAAAAAAGTCAACCATAGTTGACACACACCTTTACTCCCAGCACTCCAAAGGCAGAGACAGAGAGATCTCTGTGAGATGGAGGATAGCCTGGCTTATTCAGGCAGCTGCGGTGGAAATTACACCCTGCCTCAAAAAATAAAATAAAATAAAATTCAATGATTTTTTTCCCACAGTGAGAGCTGGGTAGTCCCACTCTGCTGTATAGAAACACTCCTCCAGACCCCAAATGATAGTCACTCCTATCAACTGAACTCAACACAAACACCATCTATTCAGAAAGGGCACTCAGACATTCTCAAAGCTATCACTATTTGGAATTATCTTTTATACACTTGTCATCATTTCCCTTAACCTAACCAGAAGCTCTAGTGGCCAAAAATGCAGACAGATCATATCTGGAATGAATGAGGGTAGAGGTATAGGGGTTTGCTGAAGGAACACCCTATTGTCCCCTCCCTAGAAGAACATCTTGGGCTCTGTAGCTTTACCTTCTGGAGACATTCTAGCACCTTGGTCATGTACTCCTGTTGACACGGGTAGGGCTGGAAAGGGAAATCCACTGTCACACCATTCAGGACTACCTTGGGCATATCAGCCTATAATCAAGAGGACACAGTGGTGGGCCAAGATGCAAGCTGTTTGGGTCTGTCAGACAAACCCCTCTGAACATCTCAGGATTTCAGTCACTCCGGGTAAATGCTGGCAACACGTGGCACCGGTTTTCTCTTTGCAGGAATTCCCTACAACACAGGCAAGGAAAAGAAGCCTTTGTAGCCACAGGCCACCAATCATTTTAGGAAGTTATTCCTGCGAAGGTCAGGAAGTCTGTTATTTTTCTATCAAAAGGAACTTGGAGCCAGTCGAGGTGGCCCACGCCCTTAATCCCAGCACTTGGGAGGCACAGGCAGGGAGACATCTGAGTTCAAAGCCAGCCTGATATACAGAGTGAGTCCCGGGGCAACAGGGGATATGTAGAGACCCCGTCTCAAAAAATAAAAAGGTGCTTGGAGAGGTAAAAAATGAATGATCTCCTGACTCACATAATTCCACCCTACTCTGAAAAAAAAACTCTATTTCTCAAAACAACAAGTACGATCTACGTGCTCTACCTGAAACTCTTCGCAAGAAATCTGCAACTAGCCAGGCAGTGGTGGCGCACGCCTTTAATCCCAGCACTCGGGAGGCAGAGGCAGGCGGTTCTCTGTGAGTTCAAGACCAGCCTGGTCTACAAGAGCTAGTTCCAGGACAGCCTCCAAAGCCACAGAGAAATTCTGTCTCGAAAAACAAAACAACAACAAAAGAAATTTGCGTCTAAGTCCCTGGCAGCATCCCTCGTAGCCTGGCCTGGGTTGGCACACTGAAGCGTGGAATGCCTCCTGCCTCTGAAGCTCTTAAGGTTGGGGTCACGGGCCATTCAGTCCAGGTGAACACCCAAGTGCAGATGAAGTAGCGAAACAGGCCAGGTGTGGTGGCATGTGCCTTGGATCCCGGCATTCTGGAGGTTTCCAGCCTGGTCTACATAATGAGTTCCAGGATAGACAGGGCTATATAAAGATACACAGTCTCCAGGTGAGGGTGGGGGGCGGGTAGCAAAACAGAATCATGGTATGTAAAGCTGTGCAGCCCTTAGCAAGTTACTCAGCTTCTTCAGACCTCCGGATCCACTATAAGATGGGACTGACAGGCTAGTGTATATACTCCGCCTTAGAGATGGCCAAGGGAGGCGCCTCTAGCTAGACTCCTTTGGGAGCAAGAGCCCCCCGCCCCAGAATGCACCACGGCCGCTCCAGAAGTGGCGCGATCGTGGTCTGTGACCTCGGTCCTGGGGCCGCTCAGATAAAACTGCCAGTAGCAGGGCCTGCGTACCCCCAGCTCACTTGTCTCAGTGGGGTTGCCTTTCAGAATCCGGGTTCCGAAGGAATCAACTGTGAGGGCACGTAAGCATCGTCCTCCGCAGCCGGTTGATTGGAATTTCGCGGGCTGATCCGAGGATTGCAGCTAAACACTGCACTTCCGCCTCCTCCCTTCCGGTCCTCTGCTTTGCCATCCGGGTGGAAACCATTCCCCAACCTCTGGGCCTGCAGGTTTCTCCGCCTCTAGGGAGAAACGCGGGTTTTGCTCAGTGGTCCTGGGCCATCTCTGTATTCTTGCAATCGTCTAGAAATTAGCTCGCCTCCCACTTCTGCTTCGAGAACTCAGTCTTCTGTCTTCTACTAGCTCACCACCACTGTCCGCACAACTACACAGATCCTAGCTCTCTCGTGATTACTGACCTCAGCTCACAGGAGGCATCTATTCACAGCTGGAATATAAGTCTATCATTTTTATATAAAATCCAAGGCTGTATCTTGCCTTGGACTCTCGATTAAGAGTCCTCACTATCTTCTCTCTCACACCGGATCCTGTTTATTTTCCAATCAGCCACCCTACCACTCACCCTCCAGCAATCAGGGTAAGTCCTCTAAGTCTCCAGCACCTGGCTCTAGTTGACAGTCAACCAGGAGCTCCAGGGAAGAGAGAGTAAGTAGCACAGTCCTTGAGGGCAGTCCTGACATCCGAGATGTATGTTTCAAGCAACTCCCAATATGGGCCAAAAGGCAGCAGAAAGAAATTGATTTTTCAATGACTGTCCACTGCCAGTAGACACTTGTTTCAGAGCTTTTCTTTGGTTCCTTTAATACCCAGGTAGTTTCCCACAGATATGCCCGTTCTCATGAATGTGAGATCATACTTACAGAAAACCCTAACACATCTATATACTGCCAGTAGACATTTGTTTAAGTCCCTCAGCTCTCATTGGGAAATTAACAATTAAGGAGGCCATACACACTGAGATGGGCACCAAACACCGACAAAACTTTTTGGGACCCTAGTGGAGCTGAGGCCTGAACTGATTCATGTGCTGCCTGGGTTCATAGCAAGGCAAGTCTAGGTCCACAACATATAGATAGTTACTTTGGGGAAGCATGAACAGCTTCTAATGAAACCATCCTGGCAGGAATAAGTATATTTTAAAGAGATCCTTATCTTCCCTTTGACTATCAGAATTTGGTATTTTCCAGGAAATGAAGGGAAAGAATGAAGTGTTAACAGCTGGAGAAGGGAAGGAGATTTTACACAATTGTGACAACTTGTCAGACAACTTTGCCAGAGAGACTGAAGCCAAAGACAATGATGGCTAGGACCCAAGACTGCCTATTAATCATACTCCTTGTCCTCTAAATAAACCTAAACTTTATGTTAGATACCTGAATATCACCGGGGAGATAACTGGACTTCATTGTTCCTCTGCTTAAGGTTGCCACATTGAAGAAATGTTTTTCTGCTTTCATGATCAAATTGTCTACTTAATTGATGTATTTAGAACCATTTAAAACAGCTTCCAATGAAACCATCCTGGCAGGAATGAATATATTTTAAAGAGATCCTTGTCTTCCCTTTGACTATCAGACTATTTAAACAATGGGCCTCTAAGAAGTTGGTATTTTCCAGGAAATGAAGGGAAAGAAAGAAGTGTTAGGGCTGCCAGAGCCTATGATCTGATTCTAACCACTCTAGTAACAAATCATGTGGAAGCTATTTTCCTGAATCTAATATGAGAGATGAGGGGGTGAGGCAAGATCTAATAAGTCTCACTCAGGAGGCAAAGAAATCTCAACTAAGCCAACAAACTTGGATTCAGTGTCTGCTCTGGCAGACTCCAAGGGATTCTCTGTGGACAAAATACTGTCTCGATCACAGGGTAGATATAAATCAACTACAGATAATATTATGGTAAGTATATAGAAAGGAAATAATAGTGAGGGGGCTCCCTTGGCTAGAGGCCAGAAAAGGCTTCCATGAAGACTGTTCTGGGGATAGTATGAGAAATGTTGCTGGCTCTGGGACTCTGATAAGTGACTGGGACACAACAAACCTTCCAGAAAGTAAGAAGCTCAAAGAGGCTAATAAGAACAGAGCAAACAGAAGTTAATCTAAGGACTCCCACTCTGTTTAGGAGTATATTGATGCCTGCCATGAGGCCTGGGAGATTGGGGATGATTATAATTGAATGGGTTTGCCTGCATCTATCTCCAGGACTCTGGTACACCTCTCCTATCCTCTTTTCTCTGATATATTCCAAGTTCCAGCATATAACAGGTGTTTTACTGGTGCTTGTTGAATGACTGAGTATCCTTCTGAGATTCAGGGCTCCTCCTAGAAGATCCACAATTAATCAGAACAGCAAAGAGTTCTGATCTGTAAATTCTTAGTCCGTGAGTAGCATCCTCAAAGCAGCAGCTCATGAACTTTCTTTAGTTGATCTTAGTGAGAGCTCAAGGTCTGCTCCCAAACATGGAACCATACTAAGGCAAACATTTAATATGCCCACTGTGCATAGTGTTTTCTTTACTGTGTGCCTGACACTGTGCCAGGGAGGAACAACACAGCTAGTCTGTGGGTTTCAGACAAGGATAGAAGTTCATGAGACCAGAGCGAGTGCCAGGATAGGCTCCAAAGCTACCCAGAGAAACCCTGCCTCGAAAAACCAAAAAAAAAAAAAAAAAAAAAAAAAAAAAAAAAAAAGTTCATGAGAAGACATGCCCAAGGTGAGACTATGGTAATACAGTACTGTGAACCTGCCTGGGTGTGTGTTCTTCTATCTGCAAGAAAAGGCAAGAAAAGGCTGGAAGGTTGAGAGGGTCACTTCTCTTGATCTCAGCAACTGAGTTTCAGCCTCTGGATCTAAGTCCATCTAAAGGATATCCCACACAAGAGCCAGGTGCAGGTGCACTAACTAATCTAGAAGACATAGTGGCTTCCATTAGGGTCAAGGCCACTGTTAGGAATAGATTTGTGAGTTTCTCCCTTCTTCCAAGTCCCTCCCAAAGCAGAATCATGATGATAGTGTACACATAGAAGAGCTGTGCTTTCTTTGTGTGAATGGTGTGGTATTTCTATATAACAAAGTACCACAAGTAAGCAGCTCAAGACAATCTCTAGTACACTCTCCTCCATCTTTGGAGTCTGGCATCATAGCTTCATCTTACACCAAGATGTAGAAACTCAGAGAGGTCAGAAACTCTCCCTCCAATAGAGAATATTAAATAGAAAATGCTAGAGCTGGTGCTGGGACCTGATTCCAACTCACACCAAAACCCTGTTCTAGGCCTCACGTATTAGGCCCAGACTTCTGTCTGGAGGCTCTGAAGGCAAACTTGTATCCAGAGTGTTTATGTTGGCAGAATTTGCTTCCAGTAGTGGTGGCTGTAAGGTCTTGCTGACTACAAGATAGAAATGGTTTTCATATCTTTGCTACTTGACTCCATAGTGAAAATTGTCTACCCTGATTTGAAAGTGCTCCTGTTAGGGTTGGAGAGATGGCTAAGTGGTCAAGAGCATTTGTTGCTATTAAAGAAGACTGGAGTTCAGTGCCAAGCATCCAACTGGACAGATCACACCCACCATTAACTGTAACTTCAGGTGATTTAATGCCCTCTCTGGCCTCCATGGATACCTGTACCCATGCGCACACACACACACACACACACACACACACACACACACACACAGAGAGAGAGAGAGAGAGAGAGAGAGAGAGAGAGAGAGAGAGCTCATTAGAAAAAATGGACCTGTTACTCAGGTCCACTAGATATTCCCTTTGAAGGTATTCTGTTCCATACAATGCAATTTAATCACAAGTGTGAGATCCACAGGCCCAGACCCACATATACATACCAGGTACAAGGTTGTACTGAACTCTTCTGGGCTGGTCCCTAGGTTTTCCACTAACTTTCTGAGCTGCCTCATCTCCCTTCAAGTCTTGGAGTATTCTCAATAGTTTTATTCCTAGCCTTATGTGTTAAATGCTTGTGAAACAATCCTTCTTCTTTTGGCTTCAGTGGCTCCATCTCAAAAGTGGATGAGATACTCCATTTGGATATCAGGCTCTCTCCTCAGGAAAGGCAAACCAGGTTCCCCACTTGACCTAGTTAGCCTTACCTGTCAACTCAACAGAGCCTGGAGTCACATCAGAAAGGAATTTCAGTTGATTGCCTGAGTCGAAATTTTCCTGTGTGCATGTCTTTGGGGGATTGTCTTGATTGCCGACTGTGGGCAAGACCATCCCTAGGTAAGTTGTCCTGAACTATACAAGAAAGCTAGCTAATGGTCCTGAGGTCCTAAGAGTGAGAAAGCTGTCCCTGCCTCCCACTAGCTGCAACACTAGGAAGAGCAGGCCTTGCACTTTGCCTGAGCAGAACAATAGAGCCAACCCTGTTGTCAGAGGTGTGGGTGAGCCAGCCCTGAAGTTGTGAGTGTGGGTGAGCCAGGCCCGAAGTGAGTGTGGGAGAACTGACCTCACTACTCATCTGTCATTTGGTGATGTGGGTAGGGGAGAGATGCCCCCCCCAACCCCTCGCTCCTTACCACCTGTGACAGATGAGTGTACTGACCCTCCCCGTTCCCAACTGCAGCACTCAGGAAATCGGGCCCTGCTCTTCACCTAGGCAGCACAATAAAGATGACCCTGTTGGCATAGGTATGGGTGAGATAGCCCTGAGGGTGTGAGAGTAAGATAGCTGACCACATCCCCCTATGTGGTGGTGAGGGTGAGGGAAAGATGTCTTCTTCCCTCCTTGACCCTGCCATCTGTGGTGGGTGAGGGAGTTGACTCTCTCCCTTACTAGCTTCAGCACTCGAGAAAGTGTACCCTGCACCTTGCCTAGGCAGCACAGTAGAACTGACCCTGTTAGTGGAGGTGTGGATGACCCAGCCCTGATATTGTGAGTTTGGGAGAGCTGTCCCCATTACTAATCTGCCATGTGGTGGCATGGGTGGGGGAGAGATTTCCCCCTCCCATCTATGTCTGAGGTGTGTGTAAGAGCTGGCCCTGTGGTTGTAAGAGCGGGAATGCTGGGCCGGGTGGTGGTGGTGCATGCCTTTAAACCCAGCACTTGGGAGGCAGAGGCAGGAAGATTTCTGGGAGTTCGAGACCAGCCTGGTCTACAAGAGCTAATTCCAGGACAGCCTCCAAAGCCACAGAGAAAATCCTATCTTGAATAAACCAAACCAAACCAAAACAAACAACAAAACAAAAACAAAACAAAGAGCAGGAGTGGTCCTGCCCACAGCTGCAGCACTCTGGAGAATGGCCCCTACACCTTGCCTAGCAACACTTTAAAGCTGGCCCTGAAGGTGTAAGTATGCAGAACTGCCCCTGAGGATGTGAAAGCTGGAGAACTAGCCCCACCCCTTGTTCATCTCTGCTAGGGGTAAACTCGCCAGGGCAATGCTGGAGAGCTCACCCTGGTGGTGAAGACAGGGAAGAGCTGGCAGGCTGACCAACCATGCAACTACTCAGGCCCAGAACCAGGTATGTGTTGACCCACCCCAACACCACCCCATATGTGATCTGCTGGAGCACGGGTTGGAGGTTGGTCAGGAGTTGTTGGGTTGGTTCTGCAGATCCAGAGCTGCAGGAGCCAGGGCTGAAGGAGCTCCATGACACAGGGCAGGAACTGGATATCCAGGAAGAGTTCCAGTGAGGGCTCAGGGTTGATGGTGCAGCAGAAACCAGGAGCCCCAAACCAGACCAATGACTCTGCAATGAACACCTGCATGTAAAAATATATGGATAAAGGGGTTTACTACGTGACTCACTGTGTCACACTGTAGATTCCATGATGGGATTTTCCCTTCCCCGACCCCTGCACTTTTTTATCCTAAATTTTATTTTGTTTTATTTGGGCAGGGGAGGGGGATGGGTGGGGTTGGAAGGCTTGATGTGAAAGACACAAAGAATACATAAAAAGAAAGTTTTAAAAAGAAGAGAAATCTAGCTAAACATAAGCCTGTTTGTGAGCAGGAAAGCAGCATTTCTCCATTGTCCTTGCTGCCTTTCCTTAAAAGCGACTGGGTTTCTTGGTCAGAGGTAATGCTTTATGGAATAGCAAGCAGACCCAATTTCAAGTTCCTGCCTTGACTCCCTCAATGATGGACTGTAACCTGTAAGTTAAAATAAATCCTCTTCCTATATTGCATTTTTCCAGAGCTTATCCCTCCTCCTCGGGGTCTCACTGTGTACCCTTGTCTGGCCTGGAACTCACAGAGGTCCTGTCTCTCAAGTGCTGGGACTGAAGGCATGCACTACCACACCCATCCCATGATCAGAGAATTTGATCACCGCATAAAGGACACTATAACAAAACTGCATGTGTACACTCAGCTCTGGCACATCTTCTCTTTTCCATTTTCTAGGGTCTGGCATTTTGGCTTCATCTTACATCAAAGAAGCGAAGATCCAGGACAGCCTCCAAAGCAATACAGAGAAACCCTGTCTCAAAAGGAGAAGGAGAAGGAGAAGGAGAAGGAGAAGGAGAAGGAGAAGAAGCAAAGGTCCAGAGAGGCTATAAATTCTTAACCCATCAAATAGAGAATGTCAGAGCTAGTGCTAGAACCTGACTTGAGGTCACATCAATTACAGGCCTTATCTTTCCCCCTATTTAACCAGAATCTGCTCATTCCCTGGACAGAGTTACCTCAGATAGTCTTGCAGGCCAGTGTCACTCCTTGCAAACCAGAAATCCCTTCCTTTCAACACAGACGGGGCTTAGTGATCATCCAGCCTCCAGCAGCCTCTGTCACCTACCCTGATGATGGAACATGCCCACACTAGCCTTGATCCTTCCCTGCCTGTTCTGGGGAATAAGTCTTGCCTCCATATTTTCCAAGTCACACAAAGCCATGTTACAGACATGTCATCCACCGTAGCCTGCAGACGAAACATAGGCTTTTGCTACATCCTTTGCTCTTCTCTCTCTCCATCCCCTCTCACTGTCTTCCCTTTGACAGTTGTTGCCCTCGGTTTTTCTTTGTCTGTCTGTCTGTCTGTCTATGGGTTAGTCTGTCTGTCTCTCTCCCTTTCCTCTCCCTCTCTCCTTTCCTCTTTTTCTTCCTTTCCCCTCCCCTTCCTTCCACCCCCTCTCCCTCCATCCATCCCTCTCTCCCTCCCCCTCCTGCCGCGCCCGCCCTTCCTCCCTCCCCTCCACAGCATTGCAGCATTCGCGGACTGCAGCTCCCAGACGCCGCCCGTATCCCTCCGGCCTCCGCAGCCCCAGCCGCCGCCAGCACCATGGCCAGCACCGTATCTGGTAGGGCTCGGGGCCTGGGGTATCGTGGGATCGCGGAGGGTCTGAGCAGAAGCCATTGTTTAATCAAAGGCCTTGCCTGATGCAGGAACAAGTTATTGACTCCGTTCTCCTGTGTTGAACCTTGTTCATGGCGAGCTGGGCTGGCCCTGCAAGAACGGGGTCCAGAGCCCTCTAGGGCGGGAGGGGACTCAAGTGCGGGAGAAGCAGCAGTCGGATGCAGGGTAGGAGCCGCGCCCTAAGCTGCATAACGTGAAGTCGGGTTCCTGGGCGCGTTGCCCCTTCGGGCGCCGGGGTGCGGGGCCAAGGTGAGACTGCGGCAGAGTGGTTCTGCGGATTCTTGCCTGTGCATAAAAAGTGCCTGCAGTGGAGCTAGGAGTTCCCCTAAGGCTCCAGCGACCTTGGATTTCAGTGCCAAGGAGTCTTTATAGGGAATCGAGGGGGAGGTGGGACCTTCCGCAGAAGCCTGGACCTCGATCCCTGAGAAGTGGGGGGAGGGGCGCGGGAACACAGGAGGGTACCTTTCAACAGCGCGCGCTGAGAGAGGCTTGAGCCTGCAACAAGCGTAGTTTCCCCACCTCGATTCCCCTCTGTGACCGCTGCAGCTGGGGACCACCCTCTGCGAATCTAGGGCCACCTGTCCAGCCAGAAAAACCTCCGCCCTTTGCACCACTGGGTGTAAGTGGAGGAGAGGCTGTTGCATTTCCAAACCTTTCCGGGGTGTGGTGGGGTCTGCTTTCGTAGGGAGTCTCCTACACCTCAGACTGCATAGAGGGTCGAACGGAGGCGGGGAGGGGGGACACCAAGAGGATACTAGGCACCAGGGTGGTTGCGGTGGTGGCTCGGTACCTGACCTGAGAGAACCTGAAGCTGGACAGCCCCTCCCACACTGGATGCCCCGCCCAGAAGCCAGCCCCAGCAGGGCTTCGTCTTTTTTTTTTTTTTCTGGGTGCTTGAGACTGCAAGACGCTTGACCCTCCACCCCCACCTCCTGACCTTGGTTTCCCCTAAGAACCACATGCTCTTGCTGCCTTTTCCTTCCTTCAGCCCAAGAGGCTGATCTCGTCGGTCAAATAGGTCAACACATGGTTCTCCCACTCCTTGGCTTTGGCCCTAGGTACAAACTCCACCCATCAC